GTAAGCAGACAATAGCAGAATAAATACCACCACGTGGCATAGGCGTCCACCCTACCTTCGTTGGAGTGCACCACGTATGCACATAGCTATTACTACACACACACACACACACACACACACACACACACACACAGAATTTGGCCTGAGGCATGTTGGTGCCAGATTCTGATATTCATATTCTCAGTAAATAGTACTAGGGTGATCAGATGTCCTGTTTTTAAAGGGACAGTCTCATTTTTAGGACTTTTTCTTATATAGGCACCTATTACTCCCCACCCTCTGTCCCGTTTTTTCACAGTTGCTATCTGGTCACTCTATATAGTACTTATGAGACTAGTGCTTAATTTAGAAAATGTTTGTAAATGGTCTGAGAAACAATAACCATATTTCTATGTGGTGCTTTGTATCTTCAGTCTGCCCCACCCCTAAAATTTGTAATGGAATTTCATGTTTTTAAAAATGTCATGATACTTTAGCTATGCTGTAGGTAGTAGTGGGACTCTCCAAATAAATAGCTTGTGATTAAAACCAGTAAATTAAAATGCATTTCTTGGGGGCAGAGGAAGGTACATCAACATATTTTCATGCCTATACTGCAAAAACAAAGTATAATGGCATACGTATAGAGACTTTTGTCAAGATCAGTGTTCTCATTAACAATCACCTAAGGTATTTTTAATGGTTTAAACGAGGCTCAAACATTTCTTTTTAATATCCGGACCATAACTCTTAGACTTTATTTTATAAAAATCAGATATGCTATTTTTAAAAAGGTACAAAAATGCCAAAGAAAGGTACTAGTTTTAGGTATTTGACAACCATAAACAATCCCTCTTCCCCTCCCCCCTGCTCCACCCCCTCTTACAAAAAAAAACCTGGCTTGCTATCTAAATGAAGTTTTGGCAGCATTTTACATAGTGTTGAGCAGTCCTATTTGTTTATGTTTTGTTTTTACAATTGCTAAGTTATTAAATTTTTAAATAAACTATTGCGTATATGTTTATTAAAAGCAGTAAAGATGTAGCCTGTGCCAACTCAAACTAGGCTCTTAATAAGGCTTTTGCAAGGTTGCAATAAATCTTACATAACACATCGTTGGCAAAAATAAGAGGGTGTTGCTCGCTGTGCCACACAATGCTGAAAACCTTAGAAGGGAAGGAAATTTCCTATTTGCAAAGATGCATTTGACCCATGTTAGGAAATGTTACACTTTTTGAAACTTTAGTGTTCTTCCAAAAAGTTTTCAGCTGCCAGTTTTTGAAATGTAATAGGTCTTAACAGAAGTTTCAGCCCTATATTATTACCCGTACATTCCATAAGTGACCTTGACAAGAGCTTTGCCTGGACAGCACCACCAGTTTTTTTGTTTTTAAATAAAATTGCTACATAATCCCCATTTCTTTTACTATGGATCTGTTCCTTAGAAGAGCAGTAGCAACATAGGAGATATCAGTAAGTCAAACAAGTTATCTTTCCAAACTAGCTGCTCTTCGCAGAAAGTAGAGGATTAACATTAGCGGTCATAAGAGTTTAAGTTATTAGTTATTGTGAACAAACAATTTTCTCTTAGGTGGCAGAAACTGAGGACAGGTAGAAAACTGAGAACAGGATGAAATACATGCGAATCCCAATTCCTTACTACTGCAACTGAACCAGCAGCAGCTACAATCAAGAATTCAGTTGCAAGCACAAGAGGTCAGACTAGTGCAGAGTATGGATCTTGCTAACAACAGAGGCCTCAACTTGCTACTCAATTTCCTGCTTATTGTTATGGTTCTGGTGCTCATGTTTATCCTTGTGAAACTCATGTGAATCTCCTTGAGGTTCTGCTTTTTTTTGCAATGATAACTTAACACAACATGTAAAAAGATTGCATAAGCTAGAAAAGTGTCTATAAAGTATATGAATATTACATGCTCATGTATCTACTCTACAGCAAAATATCTTAAAAGCAAAACAATCAACATATTTGCCAAAGGCTAAGAGGAGTGTATAATTCCATGCTGGCGACAAAAGGACACTGTATCTAAGCATACACAGTACTCTTGCCACTGGTATAATAAACTGATTACTTGTATTTAAACAACTAAGAATCAAAGGCAGAAGTCTTCTAGGAGTACAATCTCTGCAAAGAGGATAACAGAAATAACAAAAATGGAATCTTCATAGAGCAGCCTCTCTGAAGAAAACTGAAACACAGGCCTGAAAAGGACAAGAGAGATGCCTAAAGCTGATTGATGGCAAGTATCAGATTACGTATGGAAAAGAAAAACAAAAATGTTGTTGTGGCTATTCAAAAGCCAATCCCACCATCTGGTTACAGGATTTGTCATGCATGTTCAAATATAAAAAATTATTAACTGCAGCTTTTTAAAAGGCGTACCATCCACTGCAGCATTTGAAGGGGAGGAAAAAAAAAAAACCCTCAGCAAGCAGTTCTATTATGCATCAGTATTGAAAGAATTACACCAATCACCAGCTGTTAAGCTTAAAATTTTGAGCAGTAACAAGGTAATATAAAATAGAGAATGCTATCAAGTCTCACTCTACTTCAGTCTCTCTGAAGTTTGCTGAAAGTCTCACGCAATAGTAGATGGGACGGCCTGGATACTTACAATTAAAGCTTCTCACTGTTGTCTACAAACGAAGTATGTGCAATAAATATCTAAACAGCCTTTCCAAAAATCAAAAAGACATATATAGCAACAAGCTGTAAAGTCAATAGCTATTCTATGTTGATACACTATTGTCAATTTCTGTATCGATTGTCAATGTATGTTTCAAAGAGGAAAAGTTACCCAGCTACTTCATTATAAACACTTTATCACCTTTTGTTTGATATTTTGGAGGATATTCTGCTTTTATAAAATGTCTGTACATTCATATACGAGGGATCTAAATTATAGCAATGGGTTCGTTTAATGTTTTGATTAACCCGTTTAGAGCCTCACTGAGTAGGCATATTACCACAATATGAAGTATACCAAATCCAAACATACAAACTAATCCAAAGCCCACTGCAGTCAAAAGGAACGACCATGCTATAATTTTCTAACGACATGCCTATTCACAGATATGCTGCATATATCGCTTTAGAATGTATTGTGTATATATAAACAACTACAGCTATCTAAGAGTTTGTATCAAAAGAGACAATTTGAAAAAAAGGAAAAACGGTGACTCTATGGGTTGTATTTATATTTCACTTTTTATCCCAAATCACTTTACAAACGAAGCATACAAGAATCTCACCACCCTCCACTAATGCGTAGCTACCTCTGGGGAGGAATGAAACAACTGTTTATCAACCAAGCAGTGACACTACACAAGTTTGAGACAGACAGTAAAACATACAGCTTTAACTAGACAGAATATAAATTTGTATGAGCTACTGGGAGTAACATGTCTTCTGCAGCAAACAGAGGCATAATATTTTTACTGATCAAAAATGGTCAAGATTGGATTTACACATCAGCCATCAACATGTATTGAAAACCAGTCCCACATACTTATTGTATTAAGATGAAGCCCTAGTTGTCAAATCCCAAGACCACCAACTTCACAATGAACAGAATATAAAAAGCAACTTCAGTGAGGCACAACAATGAATATTAATTAAACTAAAAGTGACTGCAGTTTTTAGCATGAAAAATTCTCTGAAAATACCATTTAATTAAAAATGAAATTTTCTGTGGGGAAATGTTGATTTTGAGAAAAGATTTCAATTTTTTGATCAGGTGGGACCAAAGTAAAAATATTATGAGTTGACATTTCAAAATGAAACTATTTCTTCATTTCAAAATGTCAATTTGAAGAGAATGGTATCATTTCAACATGTCAGATTGTTTTGCTCACAAATGTAGACATTTAGTTGAATATTTCCAATTCACAAGTTGAAATATTTTGATTTACAAAATGTTTTGATATTTTGACTTTCCATTCTGATTTGGAATGCAAACTAATTTTGAATTGTCTAAATTTTCCAAGAGACTAAAAAATCATCTCCCAAACAGCTCTAATATTAACCTATGCATGCTTTATAGAGAGGAGGGCTAAGCACCTCGTTAATGGCAAAAAGACAAATTAAGGGGAAAGCCAGACTACTAAGTAACTTCCATCCAGCACAGATGTTGCCTCCCAGATGAACTGGTGCAGTATACTAAACTCAAGTGTAATCGCGGTATGAAACAAAACAAAACAAAACACACACACACACACACACACACACACACAATGAGAGCACGTGGGGGTGGTGGTAGGATGCGTGGTGAGGACAGTGGGCCTGGCGTCAACACAGGGCCAGCTTCACTCCACACAGCCGCCCTGGGGCC